ATTTTATCCTGGATTCTTACAATCGAGTCAATGACGATATAAAACAATAAAACCGCGGACAGATGGACGGATACACACACACACACGTGACAACGCACATGATCTCCCCACAGGCAGAGATAATAACATTGAAAAAACCCCAAAACAACAACAAAAGGATCAAATTAATTTGATAAATGAATATAATTCAGGCCTTTTGTACGTCTGTCTGTGCACATCGTCTCATAATATTTTACAAACAGTTTTGGCGCCCGACCTTGGTGCCCTTTGACTTCTGGGCGGAGTCTAAGTGGACAATGGTGGTCAGGTGGAGGTTTGGGGGCAGAGCCTTCAGCTGTCTGTCAGAAACCTGGACCTTCTCCTTGAGTCGGTACAAAACCTGGAGAGAAAAGACAGAAACAATTTATTTTTAAATGAAGACATGATGAAACCGCTTGTTGCTGATCAAGCAAGTAGTCTTAATTTAAATATTTTTTTAAATATTTTTTAATCTTTTTTCAATTTTTTCTGTTAATTTCATTATTATTTTATATATATAATGCCATTTATTTATTTTATCCCTTTATTTTTTTCCTACTGTTTCTGCATTTCCCCTTTATTGTCCGTATCTGACAAGAGAAGCACAGCGAAGGATTTTATTTTGGTTTTATGAGTCGTGGTGGGAAACCCAAAACTATTGTTCACTGATAATTGACCTGATATCACAGAGGAGGAACGCCGCTGAGAAAGAATCAAAGAGTGATCAAAAAGCTAGTTGAAAAGGTAAATATTGAGCCGCTTTATTGATATGATAATAAGATAAACTGCTGAACTGTAAGTGGGGAATGAACTCTTAGAAGAAGGACAAAGAAACACCGTAATAGAGACGAGACATAATACAGATTATATGAACTGAATAACCACTGAGTAAGTGCTCCCTCCTGTGGATTAAATGTCACACTGCAACTGATAAAACACGTCTATATAATCGTGTCTGTGTGTGTGTGTGTGTGTGTGTGCGTGTGTGTGTGTGTTACATCCATCTTTGTGAGGACCAAGTTTTACACTTTGAAAGTGAGGAAGTTCAGTCTTTTTCTACTTTATGAGGTCTGTTTGAGGTCTGATGTCCCCACAAGTTTAGTAGTACAAATATGTGTGTGTGTGTGTGTGTGAGTGTGACTGTATGTTACCATCAAGCAGGTGATGACGATGACGAAGACGGTGAAGAAGAGGACGACAGCGTAAAAGCCTTCTCTGCTCCACACGTGGTCCCTCTGCTCGTCCTGCAGGACGTTCTTCTACAGGAAACACAGCGGGAAAGGTTTTCAAAATAAGGTTTTTGGTAGTCTGTGACGTTGACAGGACGAGTCACAGACAAACCTGCAAGTTGGACATCCAGACGAGTTAACAACCTTTAAACATATATCTGGTTCTACAGAGTTCAGACAGGTGTTTCAGTTCAACCAGTGACCGTGTTAACTGGTGACTTGGTGGTTGCCCATAATAATGTATATTAAGTCGTAGATGATTAACACAGACATTTAAAATGGATCGAGCTCTTTTACGAGGACACCTACGTGTTCTGTCTGTCACTACGAGTCACCAGTTAACACGGTCACCGGTTAAACCCGAACACCGGCGGCGTCTCTGGCTGCAGGCTATTAAACCTGAGTCTCTGTCCTGATGTTTCCTACTTATTACCGAGACATGAGCGGCTGAACATAATCTATTTTACTCCTCCATAGTTTCATAATGACCCAAATATATATAAATATATATATATATACATAGTTTTTTTATACAACAAGAGCACAGTGTAAAAGTACTCTCATTATATATATTTTCCTCTGAGCTGTAGTAGACTAGAAGTACAATGTTACATCAAATGGAAATACTCCAATAAGATAAAGTAGGCTACAAGGAAGTACTTGAGTAAATGTACTTATATACATTCCACAACCGCTAAAACAAGTTCTTCTTCTTCTAGACTCTTAATGTTGCTCTCAAAGTGCACCAGATTGATGGCTTTAACTTTAAAATGTACTTTTGTTGTTACAGATCTTGTTGTTTTCCTTTGTGTTGTATTGCTCGTCTCTGATTGGCTACTGTACCGTGACCAGAGGAGCTGTCACGTCTCTCACAGCTGAGTAATGTTAAAATAATCCATAAAGCTGCTCTGTTCTGTCTCCAGCTGATCGATGGGACTTTAATAGTTCCATTAAACTTTGATGAGCAGCACTCTGCACACACACACACACACACACACACACACACACACACACACACCTCGGTGGAGACCTCGGTGATGCCGAAGTGCCCCAGGTGGCGGTGGAGGACCGGGACGTTCAGGGATTGGATGACATCTTCGGCGGGGCGGGGCTCGGAGATGCCCAGCCTATCAGAGGACACGAAGAGCTCGATGCCATTCTTCTTCTCCTGTAGGAGCCGTCAATCAATCAATCAATCAATCAATCAATCAATCAATCAATCAATCAATCAATCATTTAAACGACCGATCAACAGAGTAGATTGTAGGAGTGTTGTGTCTTACATTCAGACGGTTGATGTGCACGTGTCCTGCAGGAACACCCAGCGCCGCCGCTACGCCCTCTCGGAACCAACGAAGAAGACTGACGTTCAGCCTCCTCACATCCACAGCCAGATACTAAGAGAAAGGGGGCGGGGGGGGGGGAGAGAGAGAGAGAGACAGAGAGAGATTTAATATTGTTTATTTTCAGTGTTAAACTTCAGGCATTTTCAGATCGGAGGAACTGTTTAAGAGTTCTAAGAACCTCCATTTTTATTGGTTCAACATCACAACACCTGGTTTGTGAACTGTTGTTTTGAAGCCTCAATTTCAGTGATTTCGCCGTCGCCATCTTGTTTTTGTGCAACCAGTGAACAGGAAGTGACCATATTTGGACTGAGGAGGAGTGACATAGAGACGCTGTATACGTCTCTGGTAGAGACCTGTCAATCACTGTGT